CCCCCCCCCCCCCCCCCCCTCTCTCTCCTTTCAGACGCCTTGCTGGCAGACTTGGAGTCGACCACCTCGCACATTTCCAAGCGCCCAGTCTTCCTCCCCGACGAGACGCCGTACTCGTACCCGACGGGCGGCCACACCTACCAGGAGTTCCACGTCCCGCCGCCGGTGCCCCCCCCGCCGTCTGCCGACGCCCTGAACGGCACTGTGCTGGAACCCCCGGGCTCGCACCGCTCCTCCGTGCAGGTCAGCAGGGAGGGAGAGTCCCGTGTGACGGGTCGTCATTTCCTCGCCATTTGAGTAGGGGTGTTGACCTTCTGCCTGCTCTTGTCAGTCCGTCGGCTCTGCCCAGAAGAGCGCTTGGTCCCAGGACAGCAGCTCCCCTCGGTCTCACAGCGAGGAAGATCACGTCTACAGGTAGGCTGCAGCGCCGCCAAACCCCCCAGTCAAGACTATTGCTCAGATGATCCAGTCATTCATAAGGAGTAGTGGATCTATTTTTCTTTTTACCACCGATCTGGAGTCTGTAATTGGAGGAGCGCTTAGCAGTCATTAATGGACTCTTATGAACGTCCGACGGGCTGAATGAACAGCGATGTGTCTCCCTGCCCGGATCCTCAGCTTCTCCCGTCAGTTTGGATCAGTACGGTGTAGTGTGTCTGTAATCGGCGTCGGTAATGTTTGCCATTAGAAGAAAAGAAACCTTTTTCTGTTTGTCTGTCACTCCTCCGTCACTCGTCAAGCGTATTTAAAATTAGCTTAATTGGCAGAGTAGATGCTGGTTCGAGTGTTTCCAAAGCGTGACACTTCTTGTATATCATGTAGTATTTGGGTGTGAGAATGTTGGTGGGTTTGCTGAGACTATCAAAGCCAGTTAGTCCCCGGCTTCTCGTTTGTCCTCTTTATTTCCACTTAGTGTCTGTGGTCAGTTAGTCTGCCGCTTGTGAAATGTACTACGTGCTTTTGATGATGCAATATTGTTTGCACCCTTATTATTATGAACTGTAACATTTTTTTGGCAGTTCAGCCCCTGTGCTTATGACCTTCTTCCTCCTAGTTTCCCCAACAAGCAGAAGGGTTCAGACTCCGCGGGCGCGATGAGCTCATCGCTGGGCAGCAACCTGTCCGAACTGGATCGGTTGCTGCTAGAGCTCAACGCCGTGCAGCATAGCGCCCCCTGCTTCCCGACTGAAGGTACTGCCGGTCAGGCCTGTGCTGCCCCTTAGGTGTGACGTAACACAGCTGGGGCTGAGACACACTTCCATCCGGGGGGATTTTAACGGGTGCTAATTTAGGGAACTGCTTTTAATTCACGTTGTTTAGGGGCCACGGGTGTCAAAATTTTGGAATTCTTTTCTCTGCCCCGCCCACAGAGGACGCTGTCCCACCCCTGCTGTCTGGGGCCCCCACCCTATATGGGAAGGAGAATGGGGTCTCGGTGGCAGCCAAGGCGCCCCCACCTACTGTGGAGAAGCCCAAGCGTCGGGTGGTGGAGGACGTGCGGCCCAGCGTGGAGAACCTTCTCGACCAGCTGGAGAGCTCGGTGCCACGCCCTGTGTAAGCCTTCTTGGGGGGGGGGGGCGGCATGGGTGTTCCCTCTGAGTGGAGCCTTTCCAAGTGGGAGCTTCTCAGCCAGTAGTTCTGCAGTCGATTAGCTTAGCGACGCCCGTACAAGCAGCAGCGTCTACGTTCTCCTCTGTGACCGGCTGACCTGCTCTGGAAGCTTAACAGACTCCAGTGTAATTGTTTCAGCCTGAAGTAGAAAAGGGTCCATCTAGTGTTAATGTTTGCGGGCAGGCCGGAGGTGACGTAAAGCCCGTGTCACCGTGTTTCTGCTTACCTGGGTATATGGAGGAAATGCGAACATGCGTCTCTGTGTCCCCACTAGCCCCACCCCCTCCGCCACCCAGAGCGTCCTGGACGACACGCAGGAATCGGCGGCGGCGCAGCAGAGTCGCATCTCTGCCTCGTCTGCGACGCGGGAGCTGGACGAGCTCATGGCCTCCCTGTCCGACTTCAAGGTCCAGAGCAATGTGAGCATGTACCTCTGCATAGGAAGGGGTAGTTCCGGAGAAACTGGATTGGATGTGACAGAAAGTAGGGGACAGGGGTGTCATCGCTGCGTCTGGTTGGATTGTGCTATGTCCTCTTCGGGTGGTAACCGCAGTTCTGTGGTCAGCGGCTGTGTAGCCCAAATGTCAGCACCTTTCCCCTGCATGCACAAAGGAAGCAGAGGTGTGTGACGTCTTTGTGGCTGTTCTGCTGCTAAGTTGCTAAGCTTTTATGTTTCTGTCTAAAAGCTTCCATTTTCTATTCCTTTGCTGCATATTTTAGATCCTGTCCTCCCAGCTAATTTTTTCTCTTGTCTTTTCTTTCCTTCCTTGTCTTCTCACCTGCCTCCCAGTCTGGTTCTCTGGGGCCCGTTAATGCAGGACCCCTGTGTGATATGGGGGCCGGATTCCCTCATTTGACTCTGTCCTCATTTGCCCCAACCTCAGTAATGAGCCTACCTTGCAGCCCCCATTACCTGCCCCCCTGGGATGACCCTCAAGCCTGTGCTCCTGAGGTTATGGAGTTGCGCATTGATGAGGATGCACATGACCCCAGAGGGACCGCTGCCACGGCGGTCACTGCACCACGGTCCTCCTGTGCTCTCTGCACGTCCGCGTCCCCTGTCGCCTTGTCCTACACGCCCCAGTTCACGGAGTCGGCCATGTTAATCCAGTCTGCAGGAGACAACCTTCTGACCTCTGCCTTTAAGGGGAGCTCCTGTGTGAACTCGTCAGGGACCTTCTGTCACCCCAGGAACTCTGTGGTTCGATCATCAGAGCCAGTAGACAATCTGGTGGAAGCTGCTCCAGTTGCTCCTGTCAGTGACCCATACTTCATTTCCGTTTGTGAGACCTCCAGTACGCCACCTTGTCTTGCCATCAATTCTCCCAGTTCCTCAATACTACCGACGACTCCTGCACCAAAGACTCACAGTCCTTCCTTTCAGTCTATCAAGTCTGTCACCCCTGCTCCTGGTACTTCTAACCTCTCCAGTACAACAGATCTTACTGATACTGGTCTTCCAGGTTTTGCAGTGGAAGGCAAGCAGTCATACACCACTGAAGTTCCTTTACAGTACTCCAGGACAGTAGATTCTGTCCCCAAGGTTCAAGGAATAGAGGGAACCTCGGCTGGTCCAGGTCCCTCATTGGACAGCATGCTGGAAGACCTGTTGGAGGTGTGCTTTTCCAAGGCAAGGAAGCAGGAGGTTAAGGAGAACACCTCACCCCTATCTATGTGTGGCGGATACCCCATATCTGGCATTGCTGAGCAGGGCGTCTGGGGGAGCAGCATTGAGGAGAGGGGCTTGCGGGACTCCATGAACTTTGGATCAGGGCTGACTGAGGAAGGACAAGACGGGACGATGACGCCCCAGACTGAAGCCAGCTGGATGGATGACTCTTTGACCCCATCGCCTTGCCCTCAGACCCCAGATACCTCGCTGGACCTGCCCCTACTGCAGCCCTCAGCTGTGGAGAGGATGTCTGCGTCCGGCCATGTAGGGGTCGTCCTGCTATTAGGCGGCCATTTGTTGTGCCCTCTGGATTCTTGTCATGTCTTTGTCACATCCAGTTGGGTCAATCTCCGGCCGTTTCTCGTGTCTGTGGTCATTTGGTATACCAGCCTCTTGGCATTCGTTTGTAGGTGTAATTAACTTCTTAGCAATTAATTTTCACTCCCCTGAATCACACTGTTAAAGCTTTTCCGTGATGCCAGTGCTTTTGATCCAGAAGTCCGGCCTCCCTGTGGTGCAGGATTTAGTCATGTCAGAACTATTTTAGGAGGGAAGCATGTATCCGAAAAGCCAAGACCTTTTGACCATGTGCCCGTTCCCTATAATGAGCTGCAAGCTTCTGATTGGCTGCTTCGTGGAGTCTGTATTTTATTGGTGGCACTTTAAACTAATGGGGTGATACCTTCAAGGCAAAGTTAATGTGTGGAATTTGTGCTTTGAACAAGATGGAACAGACCTTTCTTATTCTTGCCAAGTGCCTTTCAGCAGCACCCCCGTAACAAGGAGTGCATAGCTCCAGGGAAGGCTTGTTTGATCTGTGCACCGCTCATGTTTGTTGGAGTCTACGCCCTCCGCCTGCCACGCAATCTGTGAAAGTCCTCGTTAGAGATAAGCCGGCTGTTTAATCGTGTAATGCTGGAAGTGTAGCTTTCCGCTGAAGTGGATGACACGTTTAAAAATATGCTACCATGCCTAGTGACCGAGTTGATTGATTGCGCACATGAGTCAGCGCTTTGATTTTTGGCTCCCACCTGCATGGGGGGGTGCAGGCTGGCTTTTTTTGGAAGGTCCCAGCAAGAACAACTCCTTGGCATTTTTTCTTTTAATGGACCGGCCGGGCATGAGGCACTTTTTGCACTCTGCATGCCGCGGAATACGAGTGACGCAGGGGATTCCAGCACGTCAGTTTCTAAATTACTCTTGAGGCATTTTACCTTTGGTTGCGCCGGTTGGACGTTGTGTCGTCTCTGTCTGCTAGCAAGTGGACAGGCAGTGCCTGACTAACGGCATGCTGTGGAACAGGAGCCCCCTCTAGCACGGGGTGTATTGTCCCGTGTTTGGATGGTTTTTGCATGTGTACATGGTACTGCAAGTTTTTGTTCACAAAGGCTGCATTCAAAAAGCATTTGAACTGAACCCCACAGCTTTGGAGTGGAATGGATGCATGGTGCCTGTCATTAATACCAGTTCCACAACGTCCTGATGAGATCTGTGCCCCCGGTAGCTCAAGTCTGTGATCCGACGCACCAAGGAGATTCCCAATGTACACCCCATGTACCGTGATGGGAACCAGCGGCCCAAGCTGGGTCCGGTCATCTTTCACAAGAGCAAGTCCCAGGATAGGCTTATTGAGGAACTGCAGGGCAAGCTGGGCATCGGGCATATCGAACACAGGCGCGAGCCATTGGACGACTGGCTCACGGAGGGCTTCGTCATCACGTCCAATCAGAGGTCGCGTGAGGACTGCACCTCGGTTTCCGTGGACAAGGTAGAGGGGGAAACAAGCAGCTGCGTGTCCGTTTTGAAGGAAACCACTTCATTCATTGTCTCTATATCACTCATTTATCATTTTGAAAGACTGTCAATGTCATTAGTTGGACACATCTTTTGCGCTGCCATGATTATTCTCCATTTTTGTCTTTTGTTAATTACCGCCCTTGTCTTTCCCTGTCCTTCACTTCTCTCCCCCAGATCATCATTCCTCCAGCCTCATCTGTTCCTCAGAGGAAGGTCTTTCCCCCTCCTCTGTCTCCATCAGAGACCTCGCCCTCCCTCCCGTGCCCCATTGCTTCGGGAAAACCAAAAATTCAGCTCCCCCTGAACCAGCTTCCATCACCTCACCCATCCTCATCCCCACCCCCTCAGCTTAGCCCAGCTAAAACCCTGCCGAAAGTCGCCTTCCCACCTCGGGAATCCCCCAGTCAACTCCAGCCCCATCAAGCTCAATCTCCCCGAACACCTCCCATCACCGCCTACGCCCACCAGTTACAGAACTTCCCCCCAGAACCAGCTATCCCGATTCCACCTTACCCTCTCCCAGTCCAGGCCACCCCTCAAGTTTCAGCTCCCGTACCAAAGGTCCTGGTGTCCGTAGGCTGCCAAACCGATGATGATCCTCTCTTCCCTCCAATGGTCCAGGCAGGAGTCTCGCTCTCTCTCTCTCTCTCTCTCTCTCCCTCTCCCTCTCTCTCTCTCTCTCTCTCTCTCTCTCTCTC